AGTTTATCAGAGTACAAAACTGAAATACGGAAGAAATAAAATACAAAACAAGCTAATCTATGGAGGCAGAGCGGCAGTAGAGTCGGCATTGCTAGAAGAGGCGTGCGGCTCGGGCGGCTGATTAGCCCTAGAGGTCGAATCGCAGGCTTCATTAGAGGACGCTGTCGGATAGATTCAGCAGTGCGATTAACATTGGAGTGGGAGGAGTCATACCAGCAGGCAAAGCAAAAGTCTTCCTTAACACATCAGATCGAGCCAGAGTTCTTTCGGGCAGCCCCGACCACCACTTGTGCTCGTATGGTAGGCTAGGATCACCACGGAAGCCAGGAGGCACTTTGGGCGAGGCGTCCCAAATAACTCCCGGGTCGAGCTGCTCTAAATTATCCTCGGCGATTTGCTCGTCGGTCTTCTGCAGGGCAAACTGAAAACAGTCCACCCCGAAGTCTTGAACCTCCTTTAGATATTGCGGTGACTGCACGAAGTCAGCTACCGTTTGTGCACGATACTCTTGGAGGAAGAGCTGCCCAGTTGATTTGTGTCTCGCGGAGCTGAGCATTGTGCTGCAGGAGAGTTGTATTTTTATCCTGCAGAAAGCCAAGGGCACCCTCGAGACTCTTTATGGACTTCCTAGAGCTGTCTCGAGCCTCCTTGGCCAGAGGCAAAAATTGAACCAAGCCCTATGACCGAAGAAAATAAAACAGTTCAATGCATGTGTAACAAAGGAAAGTGAGGGGAAAGGATTGAAGCAAACAGAGGACAAGCAGTACCTGGGCAAGCCATTGGATGAGCTGGTTGCCAACTTCCAGCAGAGTGGTGCCGGTCTTTTTGAGGTCGTCCTCGAGGAGGGCACTCTCAAGACGGCTGGCCACTTCATTCACAGAGGCCGACAGTAGGGAGGTGGATTTGGAGGCCAATGGGTCAGACGGAAAATGGCTGGTACGCGTTCGTTTCCAGACCATTTCACCTTGGTCGGTGCGAGGACACTTTTCCAGGGCCATCTCGCGCCCTGAGTCATCTTGACTACCGGACACGACCAAGGCCTTAGTTGAGCCAACATGAGGGTTTTTAGAGGATGGTTGGTCCATGGAAGGTTCGTCTTGTGTTTTGGTTTTGGACGAGGCATTTGGTTCGGAAGATTTGTCGTTGGTTTTGGATTGAGTGGTATCTTTGGGGTTGGGAGCTCGAGGTTCGGTTTTTTGGCGGTCGTCAGTTTTGTGGTGGCGGTCAGAAGTTTTCTGTTGGCGGTCATCAGTTCTGTGTTGGCGGTCAGCGGTTTTGTCTTGGCGGTCAGCAGTTTTTGGTGGCGATCATCGGTCTTGGAGGAGATCGAGTTTTTGGTGGTCGAGGAGGAGGTATTTTTGTGTT